TCTGCCAACTGCGGGGATCTCCGAGTGAGGTGAAAATAGCATCGGTCCAATACCATATGCAACAACGTACATCGTCAAGCCTACTGCCGCAGCAGAGTTGCTGACACCAAATATTTGCATTATTTCCGGCTCACTGACGGTATACAGTGATGACCCGATGTAGACGGCAAATGTGTAAACGTAGAGCAGCGATGAAACCCATAACTTTTTACGTTTCGACCAGTTTTGGGGGTTCTCTGGATCTGTCTTCGAATACCACGTAACTAGTATCACGTTGCTTCTATCATGATTGTCTTCTGTGGTCAGAGGTTCAATATTGCTTGACTGTTGCTCGTTCGTAGGGGAGTACTGGCTGATGTGAAGCCTGTTGTGGGATCTATTTCGAATAGCCGTCATGTACTTTTCAGGTACTTCAAAGTCTGGTTTAAATTCGACATGTTGAGCCCACCTTCCTCTCGTTAGAAGGCGAATACAGTAACCAGCGTTAGATTCTCGGATGAGAGAATGCATAGCCATGTCGGGCATGGACAAGAGAGCTATTGGCGATTGTCGCGAAATAAGTGTCCCGATGAGAACTGATGGCTTAAAACATCTTGATTCTTATACTTTGGCGAGAAATATCTAGCGGTGGTCTCTCCCAAATTACTCGTTGACAGTATCTCTTGTTGGGGCCTTTTCGACTTACACGCCATGCAAGCAGCGCGATGCTAACCTGGATAGGGGCTCTATCCTCAACCCCAACTCGCCGTATGCACGCAGCGCAACGCTAGCCTATTTTAGTAAGGCGATTTGAAAAGGCGCCTATGAGCCAAGTCCCGGCCTTCAAGGAGCAACTGCATTCGAACACCCTGTGATTAATCTATCTAATTCAATTCACCCTTCCTGAAGAGTGTCTACTATAGTGCTACCTGGGATTTTTTCTTTCTTTTTTGCAACGCGACCTTGTACCGTCATGGTTAATCACGGTGTCTCTCGGGCATGTGAGACTTGCAAGATGCGCCGAAAGAAGGTGAGGGCTGTCAACGTTTTGTTATATTGCACGGAAGCCGGATACATTTACCCTGATATTTAATACAAGGCTGACCTGCCTCTAGTGCGACGAAAGGAGACCAGTACGTTGGAATTGTCGTTTCACTTCTACATCTTTGCTGACGTGCTCAAATTTAGTTCTGTAGCACGTGTGTTCGGTCTGGCCGAGTTTGCTTGGGATACAAATATGAGACAAGGATGGTCTTCCGCAACTACCAGGCACCTAAACCGATCCCTGTTTCGGAAATGATTCCAGGAAGTACAATAACCATGGGCACCCCAAATTCCCTTTTTCTCAAAGGGTTCATCAAAGATTTCGTGGTTGAGCCGGCAAGTCGAGACATATCACGAGGCTTTCTAGATGGATTCTCGTCAATGTTGTCGACGGCAGGGCCGTCTTCGGATCTTGCTCGTGCAGCAGCGATTGTTGAATCAACAGTTCTAAGAAATCGGCACGGATATAGCAACCGCGATGATCATGCTGTCTCAGAATATTGCGACTTGCTGCGATCTTTTCAGACCACGCTTTCCAATCCAGGAAAGAGCCCATCTATGCAGACACTGGCTACGGCGGTTCTCCTGGGACTATACGAGGTAAGTTAACATCCGTAGTTGATCCCTTGAATATATCTAACTTTTGAAAAAGATCGTGAGCAGTAACGAGTCCTCGCTCGGCCGCCACCTTGCCCATGTCAGGGGTGTATGTGCTATCCTTGCAACCGAACAATCGCCATTTGATATGAGCGCAGGACTTGAGCTATTTCAACTTGCCAATCCTCTCATCCTCAAGTTGCACGTGACGGTGTGCCCCTTCATACGACACAAACTCCCTGAATTGAAGTCCTAACTCCTGATAGAACATGCCTGGTGTTCTGAGTCCTCCGACTGCCCACCCAACGGTTCTTAGCCTTGATGCCATTCTGGCCCAGTGCAATTCTCTATTTGCCCGTGCGAACACCCTTCTATCCGACAGAGCGGCCGACACTGCCGACCTCGAGGACTTACAATTGGATGCGGTGGCACTCCATTGGAAATTCGACGAATAGAGCAATGTGCAATTAGAGGACTCGGTACCAAAGGTAGTTGGACACATTCGACCATCGAGGGTCATACCGGCTTCAAGGAGCTTCTGGATTTCCGGCAGAGTAGACGGCTATTTTGACTGTGAGTGAAGCAGGCTCCTATCCCAGACAGGTCACGTTGAAACTAAATCTCGCAAGCATACGTGGCTGCGGTCTGGAACACGTATCGAAAGACCCATTTGATGCTTCTGGATATCATGTGGCACTGCAGTCGACGCCTTTCAGACTATGCTGCTAGTCTGTCATATGAGCAACGTGCGGAACGCCTCGCAATCGACATTGCTGCGTCCGTTCCCTATCACATAACGTCAAACCTGAACGACTTCTTACAGCTTCTTGATAGGGGTGGTGCGGCTTCACAAGCATATGGTCGACCTGTCGGGGGTCTGCTTTTGCTGCACCCTCTCTACGTAGCATCCCTGTGCTCTATCGTGACCAGTGATTTTAGACAATACTTCTGCCGATGCTTGGAACTTATTGGGCATAGCTTGGGCATAGGACAGGCAACAATACTCTCAAGTACTACGTCGAATGCAGCGGATGATCTTGATAGTGCTCAGTTCCCGTACCTGCAACCAATACGCGATCTCCCTTTCCAGCAAATGGCTGAAGGGCATGTTCTGATATGGGCGGGGATGTTACTTCATTCTAGCTAGAAACGGAATATGCCATTTTCAATCTGGCATCAATCCGGATCATGTATCGGGCAGAGTGAGAGCGTGACAGTCAAAGACAAGTACCGGTATTGAAGCCCGCCTGCGGCCAGAAGCAAGCCAAGGATGACTTTCCCAGGTGCAGCCTCGGCCGCCAGTGCTAAGCTTCTGGAGTCGAGTACTGGGCATGAGCTTAGCACGCTTAGCTATGATTTTACCACGGTGAAGAGTGAGACATCCTGAAACGCTTGTTTTTTCTGGCAGAGCACCAGGCAGCATGCCACCGCGCGGGACCGAGCCGAGAATTCCCAACGGGCTTATTGACTGACACGCGACGACATTGCTGATCCACGGCGGTGGAAAGAAAGGGCACGGAGACCCATGAGACGGGCGGTGATCGGTCCATAATTCACCTTACTTTTACGGAGCTCTAGGGAGCGAGCAAGCTTACTCAGACTTCACAAGCTCCAGGGTTTACTTGCCTGTGGTCGTAATCTGCAAGGGGCACAGGAGCAGGCGAGTCTGGGGTCACGCCACCAGATAGACAGCATCAATCCGCCGGGTCTAGCATGAGCCTTGCTTGCATACAAGTTGAGGGCACGCCGTAGGCTATAACTACTTTTCGCATGATTGCCTGCATGCACTCCTGGACTGCTGGAGTACCGTAGCACTGGAAATTGAGCAGCGGCAGAGGGCATTGCATTGCTGGACGGGCGTGGTTTTTTTTGGACAGGTAGAGTTTGCGCTAGAGCTTGGGCTAAGTCGCGATGCGGAATGGGCTGCGCGACCGAGAAAAACACCGAACAGCAACCAGCGGCGAATGGCGCAAGGGAGACCTCTCGAAAGAGGCTTTCCAGGAGCGACTTTCTGCCACGCTACCTGCTAGACAGCTATCCAGGAGTCTAGGTACCACGGTAGACGTGCTAGAGTAGAATGGTCCAGAGTCAATCTTGTGGAAGCGCCCCGGTCCCCCGTTCCGTGTGCCTCTCGCCCGTGTTGATTGTGTTTTGGCTGCACCACGGTCCATTGGGAATGTCACAGCGCGCACCGTGACAAATGGGCCGTGGAAATGAGGGACTCGGAAGACGGCAGCGAAAGGAGAAGATTGAAATCCACCGTGGGCTTTGCAAAAGTGGAGGAGAGGTGGCACTGTAGTGCAGTGAACAGTACCGAGAGTACCTTGACAATAAAGTATTTTAAGGTGAGGAAAGAAGGTAGCGGCACCGGCTTCCTCCTTTTTCTTAAATAAGTGGGAATCCGAAGATACCTAGTGTAGAAGAGAAAGAGAAAGGTGAAGAGAGCCGAGAGAGCGGAGAGAGCGTATGAATGAATGAGTGTGAGTGAGTGAGTGAGTGAGTGAGTGAGTGAGTGAGAGACTCGGATCAGGCGGCGGCGGGGTGGATGCCAAGATTTTCGCCGTGGTGGGGTGGACCCCCTGTGAAAGTCTTCCACACTAAAACACTTAAGCGACGATCGCCCGCCGATTTCTGGGCCGCCTGACATCATCGGCCTGTCCATCAGCATTCCCGGTTCCCTCCTGCTGCTGCTCCTGCTAGAGTAAATCAATCAATCCTGTTAGCGTACACCGGCACCGTAGGCCACTCACACTAACAGTGTCAAATACGAATTCCCCAGAAAAACGGAAAACCTTGGTTGGGTGATGGGTGCTTGTTTTTCTTTTTTTATATCATTTCCACCTGTGAGGGAAAGAGGTACGCAGGTGCTCTGTAGATATACACGTCTGCCAAGGCTGGACTACCTCGACTGCCGGGCTGCATCGCTCCTTCCCAGGCCTTGCTTCGAGCCTCGAGGTACCCTTGCCTGTAGAGGGTCGTACCTTCCTTACTTCACTCTACCGTGCATTCCCCTCTCTTTCTAACATTTAGCGCGTCATATCATCCACTCCTTCCTCCTCCTGCATGCGTGCAGGGTGTGTCTCTGTCTGCCCTACCAGTAGCTTCGTAGGTAGGTAGTAGGTAGTGTTATTCTCTCATACAAACCTGTTATTCCTTTTGTTGTACTCTTCCCAAACCCTCCCGAACTCCACGACAACCAGGTTCACGATCACCTACGGCTCTCCACAGGCTCGACAGTCTCTCGTTAACGTCCTGTCTGATTTCTTATTTCCGTATAGCAGAAGTCGGGTCCGGATATCGATGCGACTGCTGTCCGCCCATCGTTTTCTCACGGAACCCGCGCTTGCAGCCACTCCATCGTTACCACCAGCATCGCTATCATGAAGCCGGCTCTACTCCTCGGCGCAAGCGCCACCCTGGCCAGCGCCGCCCTCGATGTCGACCTCACCTCCACCGGTACGTCGGCCGTGTATTCATTGCAATGTCTTCATCGAGCTAATATCAATAATCTCCAGATTCCATCAAAGCCGCTGCAAGGACGGTCACACACAATCTGATGACTTACTACAAGGGCAATCTGTCAGGACAGACACCAGGGATCCTCCCAGGTCCGCCGCCGGCTGGAGACTATTATTGGTGGGAGGGAGGTGCGCTTTGGGGAACATTGGTCGACTACTGGTACTACACCGGCGACTCTACATACAATGATCAGGTCCAGGACTGCCTCGTCTTCCAGGCCGGCGCCCCCCAGAACAGCTACATGCCTCCCAATTGGACCGCCTCTCTCGGTAACGATGATCAAGGCTTCTGGGGCCTGTCTGCCTTGCTCGCCGCCGAGACCAACTTCCAGAACCCCCCAGCAGACGACCCTCAGTGGCTCGCGCTGGCGCAAGCCGTCTTCAACACACAAGCGGAACGCTGGGATACACAGTACTGCAATGGTGGTCTAAGGTGGCAGATCCCCTTCTCAAACAACGGATACAATTACAAGAACAGTATCTCGAACGGCATTCTATTCAATCTCGGTGCTCGTCTTGCTCGATACACGGGTAACAATACGTATTCTGACTGGGCTACTAAGGTGTGGGATTGGACTGTAAACGTCGGCTACATCAATTCGGACTATAGCATTTATGATGGCGCACACGTCGAAGAGAATTGCACCGACATCAACAAGGCCCAGTTCTCTTATACAGCGGCCGCTTATATCCAAGGTGCCGGCTTCATGTACAACTACGTTAGTTCCCGCGCCAATCACGATTGCTCCCCTGAAAGATATCGTGGCTAATCATACCTAGACAAACGCTTCTGAGACATGGAGTGAGCGCCTGCAAGGTTTAACAAAGCAGACTATCAACGTATTTTTCCCAGACGGCGTTGCAGTCGAAAGGGCCTGCGAGCTTGATGACAGGGTACAGTGTACCACCGATATGCTTTCGTTCAAGGGGTATCTGCACCGATGGCTGGCACAGACCACCCAGATGGCACCAGTGATCCGTGATACCGTCTACGACGCCCTTACGACATCTGCTCAAGGTGCAGTCAATGGTTGCAACGCGGATGGCACTTGTGGCTTTAGGTGGAACACTGGTTCATACGATGGCGATACTGGAGCTGGCCAACAGATGAACGTTCTTGGCGCTCTGATCAGCATGTTAGCCAAACTGGAATCTGTCGCAGGTCCTGTTACCAACAGTACCGGCGGCACGAGTACCGGTAACTCGAATGCTGGCAGCGACCCAGAGGTGGTATCGAACCTGCATACGATCAAGACCAGCGACCGGGCAGGCGCAGGTATTCTGACCGCCATCGTCCTTATTGGCATGGTGTCCATGTCCTTGTGGATGACCTCAGGATTAAATGAAGGAGGCGGCATGTGGACAGATGGAATCGGAGAAAAGGCTCCTAATCGGTTTTCGACGTGATAAGGGGTAATGTGTAATATTCAAAGTTTTTTCCATGGACATTCTTATCGGAGTCTCGGTCATTTCGGGGCGTTTAGGGGCTGGGTGGAACATGTTGCATAGGGTTTCGGGGTATAGTCATCCTACGGTCGGGTTTGCACATGGAGAACGACCACAAAGATTTGTGTTATCCAGAGCCAGGAGTAGGCTTACGATGTCACCAACATAAGGCAATGGCAGGACGTCTTGCATCTAGGCAAATGAAATATTCATGTATGAAGCCACCGGTATGGGGTATCTACACTTGATTACCCAGACTCTTCCACGCCTCGTGATCCCGTATTTTCGCCAACGCCAAATCCTTCTAAGTCGCCTTCCAATGCACAAAACAAACACGAGGGAGACAGGCCGACGGCTCCAACATAAAATACATTTACTTAACAGACAAGTCCAAATACCATATTCAGTAATGGCGTGCGCTTGACTGTCACCTGGCTACTCCTCCGGTTATGAAGGGGTTGCTGAAAGGAATATCCGTTGTCAGGAGATCCTGCCACCAGTCTGCAAAGTCCGGATCGATGCTCGCAAGGCCCGAGTGGTCTATCATGGGGTAATCCATGTAGCCAACCATATTCCTGGCATCTTGGTCATGCCCAAATGCATGGAGGGCTGTAGGATCGTGGACAGTGGACGCAAAGGGGATGTAGTGAATGCCGGTTAAACTGGAGTCAGGCTGAGGGATGTTCGGTATCTGTGCGGCTTCGTGGCAGTCTAGCCTGCTAGCTTCTGCGTGTGCGGGCTCAGAATGAGGTACCGGCGGCTCCAGATTTGGTTGCATATGCTCGACTGGCTCGACTGGCTCGGTCGCTTGCGGTTGGCTCTGATCGTTGCTTTCCGGCACGGGAGACGGGACCCGGGTGGGGACGCCTGATGTGTACACGCCGTGAAAGTTCTTCTGCTTCTTCTCGCCCAGCTTCTGGAAGATGTTGCGGATCCAGCCCGCGGCCCAGTACATCTTGGATAGCGTCCGCATGGCGATCATGCACACCGAGAGCTGATGCTCCGCGGCTGGACCCCGGATGGCGTGCATCGTCATGGCGCCGAAAAGTGCAGAGGTGCTACGAGTTCTGTGGTTAGCGTTGACACATGAGCTTGAAGAGAGGCATAAATGGCTTGATAACTCACTAGAACAGCGGGCATTGGTATAGGGACTTGTAATTCATGATACACTCCGTGATGAGCGTGATTGCTCTCGCTCCGTCGAAGGCGATCTTCCAGGACTCATTGTCGTTTTCGAAGCCACCGGCGGCATCGCTGCCGGTGATACGAGGGCGGTGAAGCAATAGTAGAAGGTTACTTTCCGATGTTAGTCTCTGTGTAGTACAACGTAGAGCCTTGAGCATCATGGGCCTTACTTGAAAAGAACTTCGAGGAATAGCCCCTGAAGCGGCACCTGTGCCACGTCGGCATATTTTAACCGTTGCAAACAGTCAGGCACCGCCTCTCTCCAGGCAATAAGACTCTTCATCAGCGTTGCTCTGTCATCCCCGCTACGCAGATGGTGTGATCCAGGAATGAACCTCGACACAATGATTTGTCCAGCTGTTCAATAATTTAGCTTGAGTTCTTAGAAAACCTTCCAAGGAGTGATCAAGGTACTCACCAAACTCGGCCAACTTTGCCTGCTCGATGACAAAAAGACGCATCTCGTTGCTGTCCGTGCTTTCGAAGTCTGCGGGTGTAAGTCGTTCTACATCACAGTCCATATCGTTGATCATTTGGGGTTTGCCGAGGGCGCTGGCACTTTGTCGATCTCGGGACTGTAGCGACTATTAGAAGGATTCCAAGGCGATCTAATGATGATATCTCGTATACTCACATAAAGTGCCCACCATATCCTCTTCCATAAGTTCTGCTCCTCCACTCTCAGAGATGAGCGTGCCGTGCTGCGATGCATACCCATGTTTTGTGCGAGTCGAATAGCTAGGCCAAGCCAAGACCAGGGGTCCATCATGGCGTTGGGACTGGGCCACATGTTTTGCAAGAGAAAGGCGGCCTGGACGCGAGGCAGCTGATCTCCCACCTCTCCCTCATGCTCGTCGTCGAAGAAGACCTTCTTTGCCACCTTGTACAGCTTCAGGAGGCACGCTTCACGATTCTCAAAACCCGCACGGTATATCACGCCATCCGAAGCGTGGAGAGCGCCAGTGTACAGTACCGCCGGTAACAGCAGCTCTGAGACACTTCCAGACGCGAATGACTGACGAAACTCCTGCTGCAAGATGACGGGATAAAAAACATGATTGTGTGTGAAATATGCGTCAATGAGGGCCATTTGAATCTCAATCGGCAGCTGCTGTTCTCGGATGGCGCCAGACGGCCGCAGCATGCGCGGCGAGGGGGTGTCCTCCGGGTCTACAGGTACAGCAACATGCAGGCCACCGAGCTTGTCATCCGATCCAGACGGCGAAAGCCCGTGCTCGCCGCCTCCCTCGGGGCTGGCCACGCTCTCACGCGACTTCCACTGGATCATGAAGGACAGCGTCCATGATTCGCCCAGATAGGCGATGCGGCGACTTTCCAAGGCTCGCGGGTGGTCGTTGGAGATGATCTTGCTCCATTGGTCTGCTTCGGACGCCGGCGACTGCCCACTTTCTATTGCTTGAACCGGGCGCTCTCTCACAAATTGAGGCTCCATGTTGTGGCTCTCAGCACGGAGCACCACAGGCGAGTTAGAGGCCTGGGTAGCCGGCGTAGGGGCGCCTGTAAACGACATGGGCGAAGTAGGCGCCGCCGCTGTTATGGATGCATTGTCTGATACTCGCGTTGAGAAGCGACCGTTCTCTCCCCGAGATCTTTTGGAGTCGAGAGGCCGGCAGCAGTCGGCAACTCGGCCAGCCACGCACCCAGAGCAGGGAATGCCCCGTGTGGAGAGGTCGCACTTCACTCTGCGGTGGTGGCATCTCTTGCAGGCGATCTTGCTGCGCTGTTGCTTGGGTTTCTTCGTCGATGCCGTCGTCTCCATGGTGCGTGATCGGGGTCCCTTGGTGATTTATGATGGTAATGATCAGGCCCAAGAATGCCAATGCAATGCGAAGAGGAAGAAATTGGGAACTGGCCCAAGGGTCAATCGTGAAGGGCGGGGATTCTGCTCGCCACGAGGGTGAAGCGATGTGCACTAAGTCTACTAGCAGTCTGGTAGCGTTGCCGACGGCGCCATCTGAGTCTCTAGATGCGGAGTTGTGACTGGAGGAAGTGCGGGGGAGAGCCAGTGGAGGGTGTCACTGAGTCGCCTTGTCCTTGGGGAGCCAGGGAGCTTTGCGATTTGCATGGGGCTACCTGAGACACAGTCTTACATTCGCGAGCTAACGGCACGAATTTTGTTGGAGAAGCAATTATATGTTGGAGACGACATGGGTCTGCCACTCGCTGTGCATGTATTTCCAAGCGTGTAAGTGGGTGAAGTTCTTCTCATCACAGTCTAGTCTAGTCTAGGGCGCCCGTGCCTCTCTATCCTATCAACCCGAACAAATCGAATGATGAGGCTGATTGGAGAACAATGTAGGGCGATTAAGGAGACAGAGCATGTTCGACTCGTGGGGATATTCTCGTCATGATCACAATCGGAACTTCACCCCGACAGCTTCTGCATTCTTTCCTGCATTACCTTACTGATCCCGGGCCTGGCGATCATTGCGTTCATCCATTTCCGGACATGGGGGCCTCCTTGTCAATGAAGCCGTCCCCCAAGATGATGCGATCTGCACTCGTGTTCCATTGCAGAAAAGCAATGTCCGCTACCGATAGCTTGCCGCCAACCAGCCACTCCTGCTTAGAGAGGACGCTCTCGAGGACGCTGATTACTCTTCGAGTCTCGTTCTGGTAGCGCTCAACGACGGCCTTTGGTTCTGAGTTGCACTCCTTGATGAACTAGACTGCCTGGCCGTAATAGGGACCTTGTCCTGAGGCCGGGAAGAACAGCCATTGTCTCACATATTGCTGGTTTTCGAAGTCTGCGAACGACAATTTGTGGTCGGTATCGTACTTGGCTATTAGATACTCAATGATAGCATTGGACTCTATCCCGTTGGATTAGTTTCTCATTCTGTTATTAGGAAATTGGGACGTAGGGCTAGAGTGGACGGATTACCATAGTGTAAAATCCTTATTTCCAAGGTCAACAATGGCAGGAATCCTTCCATTAGGCTTCAGCTTGAGGAATTCAGGTGACTTCTGCTGCTCTGTAAGATGTTAGAACATATCGCAATTCTATATTGTAAGAGATGTTTACTTTTTGAGAAGTTCAGATAGATGGTCTCATAAATTAGGCCAAGTTCCGCTAGGACCATCGCCACATTCCACCCTGGTTTGGTCAGCTACATACGGATCTAGACCGTCCAAGGGGCCCAATCTGGCTTACCATTTGGCCCAACCGCTGCAGAGTACAGGGTGAACCGCGGCTTGTCCGACATGTTGAATGTGCTCTTTCATGGCCTTGTAAGTACGAGTTTGAAATGCAATGCAATAGACAAGAACAGTCAGCTAGCACGATATTGTAGAGTTGTCTTGATTTCCCCTAAAGTCCAACATGCTAATTTTACTTAAATACCGATTCGTGCAGCTGCGAATGTATCGCCATGACCTTAGACTGACCTGTGTCCTGACGTTAGCCGGTCATGAGCCATGCCTCAGCTACCCTAAGAAGGGAAGCATATCGGCTATGGTCTCCACTATTCATCGGCTATGGTCGACCTCCCCAACACCACGACTAGCATGGCATAAGTTTATTTGCGGGAGGTGATGACTTCTCCACATCCCCACAATAGCCGTCCTTCCTGCTGGATTGTGATCAAACACAGCCCCTGCTTCCTACCATAGGCGACGCAGAGGAGTATTGACATGAACATAGGGAAGGCTATCGGGCTCCGGTGGGAAGCGTGATCGACTTGCCATACTTTGCGAGAACTGTAATGATAGGAAGATGACATTCCGATATCTCAAATGTGCATACACATTTGACCCGGGACTTCTATCTGCCCAGACTGACTTCCTCGGCTTTCTCCTGTAGCATAAGAATTGAATGAAATCCTGCATAAATTTCTATTCAGGGGCCATTTCACCTCTGGTGGCTGAATAGTAGTTTCTTTAACATGACAGCGTCACAAGGGCAAGAGACCGCAATCAACGGCGCGCAGCTTGCATATGGTCATCTCAATGGCGAATCCAACGACGACTTACTCAATGCGGAGAACAGGCAGATAGCTAGCGGTGACGGGAATGCACCGGTCACGATAATGCCCACGTTTGAGATGCCTCCAGAGCTTTGCCCCTGCCATGCCGCCTGCTAGTGTCCATACCCTTTCGCTTTTCGAGCTCACAGGGAAGACTGCACTTGTGACAGGTGCAAATGGTGGGATTGGCGGCGGCATGGCCCGTGGCTTGGCAGAGGCCGGAGCAGATATCATTATCTTTCAAATTCCCGGAGAACAGTCAAAGTTCCACACACAACTAGAAGCAGACACGAGCCGCAAGGTCTATGTATACGATTGCGATATATCTAATACTTCATCAATACAGGAGACATTGAAAAGGGTATTAGACGATGGCCACAAGATAGACATACTCTGCAATGTTGCTGGCATCAGTAGCGGCTCCATTCCGATTCTCCACGAGACCGATGAACACAAGGATGCGGTAGGCCCTGCATAAAATATTTCAACCCTTAACAGACTTACGAACTGACATAAACTAATAGATCATCCAAATCAATTTCAACTCGGTTTGGGTGTTGTCTCAGTGTGTAGCCAGGCACATGGTTGAGCGTGGTGAAGGTGGCAAAACCATCATCATCTGCTCTTTGGCAGCACATAAGGCGATGACTACTTTCTCGGTCTACCGACCGATGACGGCTGCGGTTGGTCAACTGACCAACTCATTGGCAAATGAATTTGGACCGTACAATATACAGGTCAACGCTATTTACCCCGGGTAAACGCATTCTCCTTGATCCAGCATATCTAAAGCATATCGCTAAGTTCACGACCAATAGATGGATCCATACTGCTCTTGCTCAAAGATTTGTGAACGACAAGGTTGCAAATGAGAAAATAATCAGCTCCATCCCATCTAGAAGATGGGGAACCCCGGATGACTTCAAAGGTATTTCGGTCTTTCTAGCGAGCCGAGCCAGCGACTACGTAAATGGAGCAAGAATCTTTCTAGACAGTGGCACACATAGCATGTAATCTGTGATAAAAGAGAGCCCCGCTAAGCCTAGT